GTCATTTAGAGGAGGAATACTAGATGAGAAAGATTGTAAGATGGTAACCTCCATGAGTGCAGACATCTATTTCATTTTTTTATCCATTAGGTGCCCCAAGGCCTGACACATAGTTGACTCTCTGTGAGTCTCAATGATAAAACATTCTAAGAAGACAGATGTACTTCCGCAAGTCACTTAGGTAGACTATGATGAGTCCTACAAATAAAGGTTACATGTGTGTTGTAGAGTTGGAGGGTGCAGCCATTTTCAGCTGAAGTATTAGAAGGGATTCATGGAGGAGATAGCTTTGGAGTGGAATTGTGAAGATAATTTTGATTGTCAGTGTTGGAGTTGGAAAGATTAATTCTAGAAAAGGGAATAGAATGAGCAAGGAACAGAGTGGGTTTGGGGTTCAGAACTTTAGGTTTGTATGACTGAGGCATAAAGGAGATGGCAGTCAGAGATACGGCTAGGAACACAGATTGGAGCCAGACTGAGGGAGGTCGTGAATGATCTGTGAAGGAATTTGGGTCTGTTTCTAAAGACAATAAAGAGCTACTGCTGGTTTTCTGAGCAGGTTTAAGAAAATGATTCTGGCAGCAATGTTGAGAGTGGTTTGGAAAGGAGAGAGAATGGAGACAAGGTGAGCAGTTAGAGGGAGTGAGGAGATGAGAATCCAGCCTGAAGAAGAGGCAGTGAGAATCAGCGGAGAAGGATCCAGTAGATACAGAAGTCCTCCAGTTTTCAGGTAACTGGGAATAAGAAGTTGTAAAAGAGATAGGGCTTGAGTCAGTAAGGAAGGGAAGTACTGGGTTCTTTATGATTTTATTAAAATGGTAGGTACAACCGTGGTATTTACCAAGCAGTTATACACAGGTCCTCGGATTTTGTTTTTTTGTTTTTTTTTCATATGTAAAATAGAAAAATGGATTGCTTGCCTATTTGTGTCACAAGAGTCTGTATAAGGATTAATGAGCTCTTTGACAGAAAGGCACTCTATTAATCTAAGCCATCAATAATACAAATGAGTATGTTTGCCAGGTGCTTTTGCTCCTTTGTTGAAGGCTGCTACGGAAATATGAAATGCTGCCTGAAACTATTGTCACTGTTAATAGTATTAAAGCCATTATCACAAAATACCTACGCAGCAAACTTGTTCTCTGTCAGTTCCAGCGTGGGACGATGGAGCCAGGCATGGAAGTCCATTCCATTTTGTTCAGTATGAATCTTGTTTATTGTAAACTCTTTTCCTGGTTACCAGAGAAGTCATTTTAAGAGCACTTTAATTTCATTGTATCACATTATTTCCATTGCTCTATTCTGTTAAGGTTTTCCATCACTATCAGGGACCTCATTATCCAAACTCTTCTTTATGCAAATAGAGGTGGGATCACATTTGATGTATCTAGTATTTGCATCTGTGTTCTTGTCAATTATGGCAACTTCCACTAATTTAACACATAGCTGTATAGTATTAGACCGCCTGTGTTTAAACTCAAATTCTGTTACTTCATACGAGGTCCTGGTTAAGTCATATAATCTCTTAAGCTTCCGTTTCCTCATCTGTAAAATGGTGTTACTAATGGTGCTAGCCTCATAAGACTATTGTGAGGGTATGACTGTAATACACATGCATTCAATGCTCAGTAACCGCCAGGATTTGTTTTTGTTTTGCTCCAATTTATTACCATTATCATCAGCATGTCTTCTTTCCTAATCAGGATCCTGTTGTTTCATTATTTGTCTTCCAATAGTTAATTTGGACCACATAATTGATCATCAACCTTTCTTTCTTTACCTAGAACAGGCAAACTGTGGCTCGTGAGCCACATGCAGCTCTTTGGGTACGTACATGTGGCTCTGAAGTAAAATTAAAAATGAAAATAAAACTATTATAGTTTCATTTATAAAATTTTTAAAGGATTTTATTCACATAATGGTTGTTTCATTTGTTTTATGGCTCTCGAATAGTTTTTAAATTGTTGTGAGGGACAGGATTGGCTCTTCTGTCTCAAAAGTTTGCCGATCTCTGACCTAGAATAAAATTCTGAAGAATTCCCTAAATCTTAAATTTTATTCATCGTCCCTTTATGTATATTTCCATTGGCTTTCTTTTGCCTAGCAAATCAAGTATTTAATTCTGCTGTAAATGTAAGGGATCCAATAACTCGTTCTGACCACCTGACTGGTATTTTCCATGGCATATTTCTGTCCTCCCACACAATCTTCCTATAAAGAAATTTTGCTTGCCATCTTTCTTCTGACACTTGTATTTCACTTAATCTATTCTTCAGATCTGTAACCATAGGTTTCTGTCCTTGTCCCTTTAACCATTCGTTGGCCATGTGCCTCTGGACTTCAAAGGCATCTTCCCATAGTAGCTCAGATTCACTGAGATCTGTTTGAAACGTACACCAAGCCTTTGGTATATAGGGTTGAAGTTCTGCGGGTGGTTGGGGCTACAACCAAACCTGTGCTGTGCTCACCAAACCAAGGCTTATTTTTCTATTTTGCATCAATATTTCAAGAGTTACTGGATTACTGTGGTCCTGCTCAGCACCCAATCAGTTATTATCTATTACTATTGATAGTGATGCTTATAAGTGCCTGTGAGTTTTGACCAGATATTTCATTGACAGATTCTCCTCTTGTCATAGTTGAATGGGCTGAACAATTCACTCACCATCTCTCACTACATCGTCTCTAACTTTTATGGGACAGGAACCAAATGAAGGTGATTGTCTTGCTTCCTAAGAAAAATTAATCCCTATTCGTGAATAGTGAATCAATCTATTCAAATTGTAGAGGACAGAATGAAAATGACTATGAAAATAGCTGCTATTAGAGGTGGGAAAATGATTGAATAGTAAGGCAAATCAGAATATATTAGCATTTAATCAGTTTCTTCTTTTAAGATTCCAGTGTTGAGTATCTGTCTTAATCATTCTGGCTTAGAAACTGTTTAGATGACTATAGCAGGAGGAAGTTTCATTTCTGAAAATTGTGATACTCAATCTGAGATAAGGTCACTGAGATTTAAATTTAGCATCTCAGTTTTACCTACTTTTCAGTGCGGGGTACACTTACTTTACCCATCTGCTAGTTGTGTGATCTTGGCCATGTTATTAATTGCTTGGTCTCTTGGTTTTCTCATTTGTAAAATGGGAACAATAAAAGCATCAGTCTCATCAGGTAGTTGTGAGAATTTAAATTAATTTTCATGAGATAGAAGATATCAGCTATGTAAAGTTATTAGAACAATTCCTGGCATAGAACAAAATTGCAATACCTATCAGCAAGTATTATTACTCAGCTGAAATAGCATGGTGGTTAAGAGTTGACCCTGGAATCAAACTGCTGGGTTTGAGTCCTAACTTACTTACTGCTTGGGTATATTTTTAACATTTATTTTTGTTAATATTTTTTTTCAGTTATAGTTGATATTCAATATTATTTTCTGTTAGTTTCAGGTGTATAGCATAGTGATTAGACATTTATATAATTTATGAAGTGATCCCCCTAATTAGTCTAGTACCCATCTGGCACTATACATAGTTATTACTATACATAGTTATTAATATTCACTATATTCTCTATAGTTATTAATATTGACTATATTCTCTATACTATATGTACGTCCCTGTGACTCTTTTGTACTTACCAATTTTTACTTCTTAATACCTCATCTTTTTCACCCAGCTGCTTGGGTAATTTTGGACTCTTCCATAACCTCTCTGAATATCTGCTTCATTTTTAATTGGGACAGTGATAGTATCCACAGGGTTTATGTGAGGATTAAATGGAAATCACAGCATAATTTTCATTGAATATTAGCTATTATTTTTGTAATCCTTATGACGTATGCATTATATAGTAATTATAATAGTAAATGCTTATAGAGAACTTATTCTGAGCTAGATAACGTCACCAAGTATGTTACACATATTATCTCATTTCTTCTTTGCAATACCTCACAATGATGTAGGTCTTATTATTATACCCATTTTACCGATGAGCAAATTGAGCACTGAGAGGTTAAGTACCCTGTTTGAAGTCTCATAGTTAGTGAGTAGCAGAACAGAACCTGTGCACTCATGCATTACACTTTACTGCCTCTTCACTTAAGAAAATAAAGAAAAAATGTTGAATGTAATATCTAGAGAATGAAATTCGACAGTTAGGCTACTAATGGAGGCTCTCGCTCCATCCTGCCCTCATTCAAACCCTAAATCTATTCATGCGGTCAGAAAAACCCAGTTAAATGAAGATTTGTCAGCAGCACTAGAGAAGAAAGACGGTGAGGCAGTGCTGTGTGGGAGCTGAGGTCTCTGTGCTGTGTATGGAAGTGAGGCCTTCAGTCCTTCTTGCCTAAGATAAGCTCTCCCTGATTGGGGGGGTGAGGTGAGAACAGGGCTTACAGAGGACTTCTTTTCATATTTATCTTCAACTTTCCTCCCCTTTCACTGCACAACTCTGTCTGAGGCCCCAAGCAATTGCACACGTTTGCTTTTATTTATGTTTAATTCAAAACTGTTATTTTGTTGTGCTTTATATATACTCTATGTCCCTGGTGATAGCTGAGAGGACTTTGTCCTGCGCTGCAGCCCTGCTGTCACATACTCTCTGTGTCACAGAATCATGCCTAACTGCAGAGGGTGGTGCCCAGGGGCTCGTACAGGGTCAGATCCCGATTTCCAACCTGACATTGGGCAATTAGTTAATGCTTTTAAGACAGTTTCTTTATCTATAAAATGGGCATGTAGTTTGTACTCCATAGTATTTGAGAGAATTGAGTGTAAAACATTTTAATACACTGTCTGGCTCGAGCAGAGAATTAAAATTTGTTATTATTTTAACACTACAAATTTTGAAAAAGATTGGTTTGTTTTGGATCATTACCAAATGGTTTCATTGTTGAAATAACAATAACAAAAAAAATTTAGTTGTTATCATGGTAAATGCCCTGGGGTAATTTTCAATAAAATAAAATGAATTAATTTCATTTTTGTCCTCATTAGCATGTATATTGCTGGGTGACCCTTACTAGGATTGGGAAGAGCAAGCTGTGGAAAGAATATAGCTGGGGAGCGCAAGAAAAAGTGAGTTTATAAAATAGTACTCTGCTATTTATTTTTATAAATGAGATAATGTATATGGATGTGCTTTGCAGATTCTCAGTTTCTCTGCCAATATAACCTTTTAAAAAATAATTTCCATAGACATTCTGAGAAGAAGAGAAGTGCAGAATTAATTAGTCAAGGAAGGAAAAGAGAAGAGGAAATCATGCATTGTATGCTAAGAAAAGCATGGATTGGTTTGGAGGAAGTTGAAATTGTAGCAATTGGACTGTTGGAAAAAGGCAAATAGATATTGAAGAAGCATATGTGATGAGGACAAAATGGCCAGTTTAATAGTAATGGAACATTTGGACAAATCAATGGGCCTCAAGTGCCAGTAGAAGATTCCAGATGATATTCATCCCCAGCCTCTGTGCCTGGATCCCATATACTGACTCACATGGTGATGCAGAGAGTTAAAGAGCATTTTTTATTTAATGCGAGGAATGGCCACGGCAGCTTAATTGGGTGCTATCCTCCAGCTCTCGATCAGGCACTGATAACATGACTAGTTGGCAGTAGTCCCTCGTCATGGTTTGCAAGCTTGCTCTGGATTAGTCGATCATGTTGGGTACAGAGATTCACCATCTTAAGGATCCAGAATTCTCACTACTGTCCATTTTTCCCATTCTCTCTCTGGTGTGAGGCAGCTTCTTCTTTATGACTCTCAAGCACAAAGCTGGCTTATTACACACTATCTTTTGGACATCCGCTCGTGTAAGTGTGGGTAGAGACCTTGAGCAGTTTCTGAAGAATCCATCTGAGGTGACTCAGATATGATTTGCTTTTCTTGGGTAATCGAAGTGATTACCAACCTCTATCACTAGTGCAGAAAACTGTTTCTAAATTTAATCAAGACTTTTCGCTACAGCAAACTTACCATGTGGAGTTAAAGTAATCTGGCTGTATCATCAGTTACCATATTGATTCTAACCATAGACTTGCTTTCATTTATTTATTCAATAAATATTTATTGAACACTCCTATTTCCCAGGTCCTGTTCTAGCTGTAGGGTTACAGTAGATTAAAAAAAACCACCCCTGACTTCATGAGCTTATGATCTACTTTAAGGAGACAAACAATAAACCAGATGAATAAACAAAATATGTTGTATAGTAGATGGTGCTAATGGTCAGGGAGAATATTAAATCAAGAAAATGGATTAGGGAGTGTAGTGGAGGGTTACGATTTTAGGTATGGTGACCAGGGAAGGCCTCCCTGAAGAGTCATTGAGCTGAGGACCTTATTTGATATGTCCTCATAGACATGTGTTCCCCTCTCATCATGACTCATGTTTGGTCCTTCCGAAGCTCTATACATGTACTTGATAAAAGTAGAAGCACTTCCTGGATAAGTGCTCTAAGTCGTATCTTCCTGGATAAGATTTTCTGGTCAAGGATCTGTGGGTAGCTCTAATTCCTTATAGAACCTCCGAATAAGTCTCAAGAATCACGTATAGGAGAGAGTATGCTTGCCAAACTTAAGTTAAAACATTGAAGACCAGGTTTTAAATAGCTAAGATAAACTTCTAGAGTTAGTCACAATGGTTTAGGTTTCCCAAAATACATATACCACTAATTTTAAAGAAAACAATTTAAAACTTCAAAGAAATTATTTGTGTCTTCCATGAAATTGATTCTGCCCTTGCTTAGAAATTATCTGACATTAATTTATAGAAGTAATTTCATGTTCTAGTTGTTTTCTAAAGGTTGTCATATGGCATTTCCTTATTTGTTCATTTATTATTTGATCTTAAACCGATTTCAACACAAATTAGCTTTTTTTAATGTTAGGAAATCTCTTGATTCTAGTTTGATTTCTTTTGAGTACTTTCTAATTTAGGGTGACATTGTTGACATTACGTGAGTAATGTAATGTATTATCAATTGGGGAGAGGAGGGGAGGAGAGAGAGAGAGAGAGAGGGAGAGAGAGAGAGAGGGAGGAAGTAATAAATAGAAGAAGGACAGGGTGAGAAGGAGAGCAAAAAGATAAAAAGTAAAAATAATTAAAAAACCAACTTACTTTTAGCCTACCATTTCTGTCTGTAGCAACATTATCTGGTTGTCATTTATTACGTTACACTCTAAGGCTGAATCACTATGGAAAGATTTTAAATTTTAAAAATCATTTTTCACATGGCGTTTATATACCAATGTCTTGTACATGTTTGATATAAATTGCATTTATTTTACCTTTAAGCTTCTAAGAGCTTTATAGTATTTTAATTTGAATACAGTTCAATGTCTAGCACAATGTAACATATACAACAAATTATTTATATCTATTGGACAAATTGAAAGATGCATCAGGGGTTATACCAGGCATTTTATGAATTACCTTTTACTTCATCAAAGCTATGGAGACGACATTGGAAGTGCAGAGTTGATATATGGGAGATGGGTGATGACAGTTAAGGCCCTCAGAGAATCTAACAGTTAAGTGCAAGTAAGAAATTAGGTTGTGTTTCTCTTCCTCTTTTCTCTTACTTCTTACTGTTAGCATTGATGATATTTCTTTTTTCTATAGATTTATGTGCATACAATATATAATATAAAATATATATTTTCAGAGTGCCTATTATTCTAGGCATTGAGTTCAGAAAAGGTCCTCATGGGATTATAGTCTAGTGAGGAAAGCAGACATTTTGCTTCAGAGCATATATCATAGTTTGTAATTATATAATTTATCTGTATGCTAACTTTAAATATGTAATAAAATATGAGAAATACCATCAGGTGGGCTACAGTATTTTTTGTGAGCATATGACAAAGGTACTGAACATAGTTTATGTGTTAGAGACCGTCTCCTTGAATAAAGATGGCTGGGTAGGAATTAGCCAGATGAAGGAGGAAGGTTGGTGGAGTAGGAGAACATTCCAGGCTGAGGAAACAGCATCTATGAGGGCCCAGTAGTGACAGAGATTTGAAGAGCTGCAAGTTACATGAGAGAAAGAAGGATAATGAATGAGATGGAAGAAGTATGCAGGGGCCAGTTACATTATGAAGAGCTTTGTATGCCATATTCATTATAATACGGAAGAGTTTTAAGCAAAGGGTTGGAAACATGATCAGATTTGAGTGTTAGTAGAATGCTCTCTTTGCTGTTTAGAAAATGTTTAAAGAAGGGACTAACAGTGAAAAAACAAAGAGGCTGTTGCAGTGCTCCAGGAGAGAGAGTGGTGGCCTGGACTTAGCTGCTGCCGAGTTGGAAGAGAAGCAGATGTATTCAAGGCATATGTAGGAAGCAGGTAGACACTGCAGGTCTTGTTTGCATTTGGAAGATGAGGAGAGCAGCAGAGTCAGACGTGATTCCTAGCTTCTGGTTTAGACGACTGTGTGGGTGGTGGTTGCAATTTTAGAGAAAAGGAACACTGGAGGAGGCACAGTCTTGGCAGGAAGATGAATTCAACTGTGGACATGTGGAATTTGAGATACCCAGGAGGTAGCTGCATATATATGTTTAAGGTTTTAGAAATTGAGGAGATTATGCTTAGGCCTTATCAGCAAGTAAGGACACTAGCTTGGGGGAAGAAAGAATCTAGGAAAAGACCTTGATGAACACCCAAGGCCAGAGAAGTAGGAGGAAAATAATAATAAAAATGATCAAAGCTAAAATGTATATGATACTGTGTGCCCAGCATTGTTTTCTATGCTTTTACATATATTAAATCAATTTAATCCTCTCAAAAGAGGTTGGTGTTATTGTTACCCCTGATTTTACAGATGAAAAATATGTGAATCCTGGAGAGGGTTAGTGGCGTACAGACCCTCATCCTACAGTCAGTATATGGCAGAGCTGACTTAAATCCAAGTATTCTGGCTACAGAGTTACTTTACACTTTTCTGAAAGCCATGGGGATGTGCTGAACAGAAACTCTGGGAAGACAGCTGCCTAGAGGCCAAGGAAGATTGGGACTGAAAATTGTCCATTAGGTTGAGTGACATTTGCCATGAACAAGAACTGGTTTGCTGTTGTCTGAGAATACAGAGCTCACTCAGTAGGGTGAGGACTTACCAGGGCATGAAGACGTGAAGACAGCAAGTGTAGACGATGCTTTGAGCAGATTGGTTGGGAAGGTGAGGAGGGAGGAGATGGAGAATTCTAGGTGACAGACTTGAGGTGGGAAAAAAGTCATGGAAACAACTTGATGTGGTGGTAGAACAGAAAGGAGTTCTTTATGAAAGGAATAAATTCAAGAAACATTGTTTTTTCAGGTATGGCCCCAAATAATCATAAAACAATCCTAATGATAAATTATAGAATTTTTTACTTTTCTTAAATCTCTATGACCATCCAGTGATTAGTTAACTGCCATTATCCATCAGGCAGCAGCAATAAATTTGGATGCAAAACCTATGGCCAGAATCACACTGATTTGCGACTGCTCTTTTGAGAACCTTGGGAACAAATACATTACAAATTTTAACCAGACATAAAAGGAGTGCTGTCACCCAGGACAAATGGGCAATCATCTTTTGGTACATTTCACTCCATTTGCTCACCTCTTTTCATTTATTACTCTAAAATGACAGATGGCAAGGATTGCCTGGGGAAGTTTCCCTAAAATTACTTTTCCCTGTGACTTTAAATCAGGCTTAATTTGACCCTAGGCTTTTGTCTAGAAGGTCAGTCGGACCACTATCCCTGCTGTAATCTCCAGATTATTAAGAAGCTCTTCTGAAATACTTTGTGGAAAATTACAGGAAGAACTGGCCTATTTATCTTTGAGAAGATAGGGCATGGTAAAATGTCACAAATGCCACACTGGTCCTATGTTGTGTCAAATTACATGGAGCACCTTCAGACAAAGGTGAACTTAATGTGTTTTCCAAAATTCTACATAATTTGATGGGTAGCATTTTTTCCCTTTTTTCCATTACAGAGAGTTAAAATTACTAAGAATACATTTTTTTTAAACTAAATTTCAGAGATGCGTTGGTTCCACAGTTTTTTTCCTTTCCTATCTTAAACTCACAGCATGAGTTTGATGAGC